ACCCATGGCCAGACTTCGCCAGCCTCGGGTCCGCAGGTTGCCTTCTACTTAGTCGATTCACCTTGCCCGCTGCGTGCCTCTTCTTCTTGTTCATATTGGGGCGCTTTCGAGAACCATTTTCACTGGGTCGTCGTGCTACATTCTTACGACATGCCCAGCCCACCGTAGTCGCCCAATTTTTGCAATGTGGACGATGGATGGTTCTCCCAACAGCTGGTGCAATTCGTGGTTCATTCGCCTCCTTCACGTTCCGTCATCTATCTGCACTCCACCGTAGATGGTACGCAACACCTTCCGTTCAAAAACACCAAGGGCGCGTTTGTCCTCCACGAGCATAGTCACGGTCTCGTGGCTGTAGAGGACCACCGGTCTAATCAGCGTCTTTTAGATAGTCAACTTCGTGGAATTTTATTGGACCGGAGCGTGTAAATGTTATACAGGATGAGGCCAATGAGGCTACTTTGAGGCACACCCGCTGGAACCTCGTGGAGTTCTGAGGTGGCACCTGAAAGATGCACTCGAAACGTTCGATTTCTCAAATAGTTTCTTACCATTCTCGTGAGTTATTTTGGGAAGTTCACCTGCACCATCTTATGGAAAAGTCCATCGTGCCACACATTGTCGAAGGCCTTTTCCACATCCAAGACTTCCATGGCTGTGTTGTTAGAGAGTGACTTGTTCCGTTCAATGGTGTGCTCCACTCGGACTTGTTTATGGACGGTAGAATGCCGAATTTCTCCGGTATGATGACGTGGTGTTTCTCGACGTGTTCCATCAGATGCTGGAGAATAAGCCGTTCGAATATTTTGCTAACTGCTGATAGCAGCGTGATGGGCCTGTAGCTTGATGGAGCAGTTGGATCCTTTCCAGGTTTAGGAATAGGGCTGACTTTCCCTGTCTTCCATCTGGTTGGGAAGTAGCTTAGCTGGAAGCATCTATTAAATATTGCAGCCAGGAATCGGAATGCTTTGCTGGAGAGCTTCTTCAGAACCAGATTGAAGATGGCGTCGTTGCCGGGGGGCTTCATGTTATTGCCGCGCATCACTGCTGCACGTACCTGATTTTCGGTCACTTGACCGACGAATGGAGCATCGTCGACTTGCTCGTCAAGGTGGTTGATTGTTTGTTGCACTGTATCTTCGTTGGCACCGGTGTTGTGTGCTTCGATGAGTTTGTTGGCGATAGCGTTGGCTTTCTCTGATGGGAACACCGATATGCCTCCGGCGTCTTCTTTCAGTGGACGAACCAGTGTTGGCAAAATCAGAAATCAATTGATATTTTTCCGCTCTCATGCGCTCGCAATATCACGCGTGATATTGGAACAAAATATCATGCTTGATATTGATTTTACAACCTCCTTTGATATTGCGAGACTATTCAGAACGTGCAAAAATCAAGCTAAGAGTTGACTCGACACAAAAATGATTCCATTGCACATAATTTTCTTAGAAAGATAAAGCATAGTTTGCTATCTCTTTTTAATCTTCACCGATGGCAGACGCGAAGGGACTGCTGCAAGCCGTTATGGAAGTTTCGGTCGCATTCGGGAGTAAAACAAAAATCATTAAACTCAATCTCACCACAGTTTGGTGAGATTTGCAGTTGGTGAGTTTTGTTAGCTTGATATTCCGAGCTGCGATATCACAGCTTGCAAAATCAACCGCAGTTGTTTGCTTGTTGATATTTGTCTACGAAAATCAAGCGTGATCTTGGGCGTTGGTGAGATTTGATTTTTTGATATTTTCCCAACACTGCCCAGAGGACCGTTTTCTGGCCACCCTGCAACTCTCCTGATTGTATGCAATTAAAAAAAATCACAGATCTTCAGGTCTACTTTCAGGAATTGACCATTTTGCCGGTGAAGCTACTGTTGGCCTTTTTTTCATGATTTTGGCCACCTTCCAGAACGGCCTCGAGTAGTCGCTAAGTTGTTCGATGTTGTTGGAGAACTGCTGGTTGCTGATCAACATCATTCGATCCCTAATCAGGCAGTTGAGGAGAGAGACTTGTTGTTTTTTCAGGAGGCATCTGGTTCGCTGGAATATTTGCCTGACGGGTTTTGCGGGTACCGTGCTATTCAGTAGCGCAGGAAAATCCTTCATAGTCAGCGCAGGTGCAGCAGGTTTCTGACTTCCTTCCGACCCGGCTGGTTCGAGGTTGTTGCTTGTTGTCGAATCCGAATGTATTCGGCACGCTTGGGGCAGCTACGATCTGTAGCCAGATGAGCGCCGTCGCAGTTGGCACATCGTTTCGCTGGTGCACTCTTTGTCGAGCACTTCTCGGTAGCTCTTCAGGTGGCAGTTTCGGGTTCCGTTGCTGTGATAAAGGCAGTTCATGCACTGCGTTACGTCGGCTCGCTTGAGGTTGGTGTACCCTTTGGCAAAGTGCACCAAGTAGAACGATTCATCGAGGTTTGCACAGTCCTCCTTCCTTTCGATGATGTGAGCCACCTGGCCGATGAGCTTGTGTTCCTTCTTCAAACGGTCCAGGAGCTCTTTTGGGTCAACCAGCGGAAGACCACGAAGCACAACCCGGTAGGGTCGTTCATTTGGTTTGTCGTGCGTGTAATATTCATACCAGGAGTGGTTGCTTTCCCATTGCGGGGGCATTTTCCGAAGTTGAAACCACCGGGGTTGGCTGACTTTTGGTGGTCTGGGATTGATGCTCCAGCGTGATGAATGAGTTGTTATTCAACAACTGCTGCTGCAACTTGTCTATGTCTACGACAGTTTGCATTTCGGTTTTTTTTTTCGCTTGGGCTTGGTGCCCGTGTGGAAACCAGCCGCGTAGAGCGGCCTCTGATCTATGTCCATCTCCTTTCGATGCGCGCGAAGTTTTCAGAGCGGGCGAAAAACACGTCCGAACGTGCCGCTTGTCGGTATAGGCGCAGCTACAAAGCAAGACCATACTGGAGGTGGCTGGGTTCAATTCCTCTAGGAATTCTTCGGGTTGGAAAATTTCTCGACTTTCCTGGGCATAGAACTATTATTTGAACTTGCCACACAATTATACCAATGCAAAAATGGTACAGGCATCGAAAACTCTCAATTAATAACTGTGGAAGTGCATCTAGAACACTAAGTTGAGAGCACGCAATAAGCTAATATGCGATATGCAATAAGCTTGAAATGCGAAGAAGAAGAAGAAGACGTGCCGCTTGTTTGACAATGAAAATGATGATTGATGATGACGAAGAAAACGATTTAGCAAGCGTTTTTATTACCGCTGCTTTTCTCCTCCTTTCCTTTGATTGGTGAAATGGTGAGCGGTCAACTGAGCGTTGAGCTCGCTCATGTGAGCATGCGCAATGTGTCGTGAGTTCGGTTTGCGCTCTATCATTACGTCCGTGTTTGGGATTTTTTGTTACATGTCTGAATTTTTTTTATGTGATCCAGTATAAAAATTAAAGACGTAGTCCTATGTCAAAAAATCCAAAATGGCCGATTTTTGCAAAAATGGGAATAATTGCTCATAGCAAATAATTCAAAGTTTCAAATCGTAGAAGGTCAAGTCTAGTTGATTCCTTATTTGGCGTGAAACTACTGAAATCAGGGTGACCAGTTAACCGGGAAATCTAAAAAAAACAGGAAAATGCCGTAAACTCGATGTCACCGGAAAAAAAACGGGATCCCAAATTGTAAAAACAAAGTACAGCTTTCCCCCGAAGAACGCATTACCCACTGAGTTCTGCCCACCGCTTTGTCTCGGTTGGTTTTCAACCAAGCGCTCTGATTTTCTGCGAGTGACTAGTTATCGATAGACCCTACTCACATGCAAAAAATCAGCCCGACTTGTTGAAATCCCACCGAGAAAAAGCGGTGGGTGCAACTCAGTGGTTAACGCGTTTTTCGGAGGAAAGCTGTACTCCTTCCTTTGAAAAATGTCGAGACACTTGGGCTGAACTCAATTTCAAGGATAGTTATTTTGAAGAATTGTTAAGAGCATTTTTGATTTTTTCCAAAGTAATTTTGAACAGCAAATTGTTCATATCTCTGCCATTTTACGTCTAATTTTGATTAATTAGAGGTCATTTAAAAGGTATTGAACAAAACTTATTTTCAAGGTATTTTGCTAAAAATGTTTTTCCAATTTTGTACACTAAAATTTTACCTTTAATCACAACATTGGTTCGGCAAAATTTTGAAATGAAAGTGGTAGTAGAACCCGTATTCTATACCTATCCAGGAACCTTAGTGACAATTTGGTGGACAAATTTAGAAAATATTTTAAATCAATAAACAAGCAATGTTATCGATCATAAGTTTGGGGTCATCCACAAAAAGGTAGGATAGGAAAATAATTTTAAAATTTACGTGTACGATTTACAATCTCTCCAACGAAAATCATTCAAATTCAAGCCTTGCTTAACCGCGTAGGATAACTGACCATCAACTAAGATCACAAGTCTGCGAATCGTCACGCTCGCAAAATTCTAGAAAAAACCCACTCAGATACAATATTCAAGTGGTACGATGGTGATGAGTACCAGCTGGTGCCCCGGCTACCGGACCACCCCCCGCCCCGTTCGTTGACTGAACCGAGTGCAGTAAATGAATCTAACGCTCCAAACACGTGTGCAAATGCAACAAACAGAAAACACCGACCGAATGACCGAGCAAATAGCAAGTTCAATACCAAATCGGCGTTACAGTTTACAACAACAACAACGCCGAACAATTCGCGGTCACGAGTGATTTGCGCGCATGCCATCTTGTATGGAGAGGGACACCTTCTCAGATATCGCTTAGTGCTAGGAGTATGTAAACTGGCACACGCAAACTTGCTCGTGGCCGAGTTGTCCGAGGTTTTCTTTTACTGTCGTCTGTTGCAAATACCTGGAAAATGCTGCCCTGTCCCAATGATTTGGGAAGGGGGAGGCGACACTGGATGTAATATATTGTACCCATTATCGTGACTGAGTCAATTATTCAGGAGGGAGAAAAAAAAAAGAACCCTTCGGAGGAAGTTCAAGCAACCGTACTAATCAATATTTTCCTCAGTTGAAGATTTGCAAACGAGCAGGTGAAAGGGGTTGAATGTTTAGGTTGGGTTTTAAAGTGAAAACAGGTACCGTCACGATGGCTTGCGTAAGAGTGTTTGAAGAATCGTCAGTGCTTTCAAAAATGTTCCAAGAAGAATTCCAAACAGTGCACAGTAAGAAGCATCATTGTTGTTCCCACTAAGTGGGAAGATGTGGACGAGTGATCTAGTTCAATTCGGAAATTTGAGAACCGAACGGCATTTTTATGATACGTCGTCGTTGCCACTTCATCAACATTCTGGAGATCGGTTGTTGAAGGTACCAGCAACCATAGCAGTGTGATAGCCAAAGCTAAAGTGTAGAGCAGGTGCTGCAAGTCCACGAAAATATGCAACAGGTGCGGGACTTCCTGAACGGAGTCACCATCAGGATCCGGAGAAGCCATAACATTCCGCAGTTTTGCTGGAAGAAGCAGGTCAAAGCGAGGCGACGAAGTAAGTTGAAATTGTATTTGTTTGTTTTTGCTGTAATGCAGGTAGATATAAGTAATCGATTTACGTTTCAAGCCTAGTTTGAGCACCAAGCGTTCCTTATTTCAACAGTTTCACACAACCCTGGTGAACCAGCAAACCAGAAAAACAGTGCTGTCATGGTAAATTGAGAGCTGGTTACTCGTAGAATTTTCATATCTCCGCCTTTTAACCACCTTAAATTCATGCACTCTCTTTCTTTTTTTTCCATGATTTGTTTTCCGTCGATCTTGTTTTCCTTGCTGCACACCAATGTTACCGACGCTACGGAGGCAGCTTCCATACCGGACCCTACCTATCGACTCATCAACTCATGAACCGGGGGACCAACGGCTTTACTTCCCTTCCGAACGAAGGCGGTGATCACTGATCAGAGATGTTATGCCTCAGAACATCCCGGCGGCGCCGACTGGGATTGAACCCAGGCCTGCTGGGGTGAGAGGCAATCACGCTTACCACTACACCACCGGCTCCCTTTCACGAGCGTCCATTATTTGTACGAATGTGTAAATACATGTAAGCGCAATAAATTTCCCCCTCAGACTCGGCTTTGGACTTTCCTGAAATCAGAAGTTATCAGAAGTTTCCTGGACTTCCCATAAATTCCATGGACTTTTCAAAAGCTCTCTGGGTTTCTTTGAAGTCTTCAGAATTACTTAAAGGCTCCCTAAATTGTCCCTGAGGTTAATGGGTCTTACATTTTTTTTTTGTACGGCTCTGAAGTATGCTAAATAGCGGCGCCGGTGAAGTAGTGGTAAGCGTGACTGCCTCTCACCCCCAAAGGGCCTGGGTGCAATCTCAGTCGGCGCTGCCGGGATTTGCTGAGCCATTAAAACTTTGATCAGGGAAGCAATCCCGTTGGGCCCCGGTCCATGAGTTAATGGGTCGATAAGTAGGGTCCAGGTGTGGGAGCTGCTTCCCTGGCGTTGGTAGCATTGGTACTCAGTACGGATAATAAATCAAGAAAGAACACATTTTAAGTCAATTTGAACCGCATTTCTTGTTAAACAGTAATTGAGGTTATTTCTTTTGAAGTCTCATACTCATATGGTTTGATGGGTCGTATGATTAGTTTTGACTCAAAAAAGATTCTGACCACGTCCTCAAAGGCACTCGGAACATGTCAGATGTGGTCATTGAGATCTCTTTGAATTTGTAACTTGATCTAATAAGTCACCGATCGATTTTTTTAAAATTCGCTTGTATTCTGCAGGGTGGCAAGTGAACCTGGAAAACCAGGAAAATGTCGGGAATTTTGTTTTACCAGGAAAAACTGGGAAGAACCCGGGAATTTTTAAGCAAAACCAGAAAAATAATAATTTACAGATGCATGTCGGTTTGAAATGATGACGTTACTATTTACGTGTGATGCGTGCAAAATAATTGTTCAGAGTAAAATTAGCATTTGGCGTCAGATTTGACAACCGAAATTGACACTGACAGCTGCTTTTGAGATTTTCGAACACTGAACCAAAACCATCAAGAGAAGTCATTTTTTACAAAAGCTGTTAGGCCCTAATTCCAGCTCTATCTAGATATATGTGAATCAGCAATGTTCAATACACTTTGATAATCGAGCAGAAAAGCATCAGATGTTTCGTCGCTGCTGTCATGACAACGCAACTTTGCTTTATGTTCTCAGGCTGTGTTCCAATTGGTTAATTTTCACTTAAATTTGACACTTCGAAACTAAATTAAGATGTTCGAAAATCCCTCTGTTGTCGACCTTCCTATTTTCGAGAAGGTGTTTGTCAAAATTGATTCCTGGTCTGTCAGAAAAAAGTCTCTCAGTGTCAGCGTTGCCAGTATTCCAGATTTATCTGGATTATCCAGATTTTCAGTCGTCTTGCCAGGTACACAGACAGATCACGTATATTTCCAGATTTTTCAAATATATTCCAGATTTTCTCAGATTTTTTAAATATGTTGCTTTAAAAATATTACTGCAATTGAAGGACTCTGTAATCAAAAAATAAAAAGCCGAACTTACTACTTTATTTATTAAAGGCCATCAACGCTGGACATTATTGCAGCATAGTACTTGGAATTGTTACAACAGGTTTGCAATGGGTTGCAGAACCATGAAAATTGAAACATTTTCTAAAGATTATTGGCTGAAAAAATCTCAAATTATCAAAACATATCGAGCCTGCTTTTTTTTTTAATTTGGAGAATTATGAGCTGCCCTAGAATTCAGAATTTTAAGGTAATTATGAAAATAATTTACAGTGAAGTGTGAGGCGAATTCCTTGTGAAACCAAAGGAGAATTTCAAGTTAAATCTGAGTAGAGTTCCATCCAACTCCGTGGTCGTGCGGCGTCACCTGTCGTTCAGGCGTATTGTGATTCCCGGTGTGTTGTCAGTTGTCTAGTGTTAAGTATGCAGTCTATGCAACCTCTTGTTGACACATTGTATTTTAAAAGCTCTGATTACAATTGCATGGAGATTTTGTGAAGAAAGGAAATAGTTAGCATTCGGAAGATAAATCATAGAAAATTCTTAAGATGAAACTTAAGAAGTGTGCTGATACGAATCGTGAGAATAGTTTCAATGGAATTTTGTCCAATCTTTCTATCGAGATTCATTTTTATCAAGAGTATTTCAAAACAATTCTAACATTACGTACAAAGCAGTTCAATAAGTCTGAAAGGAGTGTGACGGTCAGTCTGAAGAGTGTATCAATGAAATTATTAATAATATTCTAAGGGAATTTCATAGAGAAAAATTATTTCCAGTTTGAGGGAATTGTTGAATCAGAGATTGATTTATAAGAGATTATTAGAGATCATGCTAAGAACTATTAGAATGTTACTAAAACGTTTGGATTAATAAAGATAATTTTAAGGGAATTAAGGAAAGAAGTGTGATGGAACCTAGGATGAATCAAATTGAACTCTGAAAAAAGGACGAAGATATCCTGTGAATAGTTCCAAGGATATTCAGAAAAATATAAATTCCAGAATTTAGAATCACTTCGAGAGCTTGAGACTTCAAAATTTTTTTAGAGCATTCCAGATTTTTCCAGATTTTATATTTTAACTGGTCCAGATTTTTCTGAAAATGACCTGGCAACGCTGCTCAGTGTTCACTCGGCTGTCGACAGAAGCAGACCACTCTCAATAATGTGTGTCACGCGATCATCTGTTTACTCGGCAGCAATTGTGTGGTCCTCCTCATTGTTCTTCATCAGCAGTTCTTTCAGTCGATGCGTCGTCGACTTTGGAAAGCAACCGTTTCGTGATGAATGTGTGATTGCTGACCAAGTTTTGCGTCCATTGCTGCAATGGAAGCGCTCTGACCCCCGTTGGCGAATCTGCCATACAATGAAACCACTGGAAGCGGCTCCCATTCTGGTGGAGGAGGCTTATTGGATAGCGGAAAATAAACTATATATTGTGTTGTACCTTTTGACTATAGTTTTAAGATGTATTGTACAATGAACAAGTATCATCGGCTCTGTTAAGTTAATTCGTCAAATAAACTAATAAACAAAAGAAAATAAGGCTGGTACAATAGCAGGTTTATTTGAAAATTTTCCACGTGTCAAATTTAGGTGAAAATTCACCAAATGGAACACAGGCTCAGTACAAACACGATGAAACCTCATATAGATCAGTGCACGGTCCCTTACCTCACAATTTGGTCTTGTTGTATCCCTTTCATTTAACACCAGAGAACAAGTGATGGCAACAGATAACTACGAATGTGAACCGAAACAAACCACCCAAAATTGTCAAATTTGACATCTACGTGCACTGATCTATCACAAATCTTGCTTTCGGTGCTGTAGACGTGATTGACAGGAGGAAGTGCGAGCTTTAATTAGCTTTCGTTGTTGAATGAAAACTGTTACGCTTGTTTACCACTCCGAACACGTTGTCTCCGGTAAAATGTGTAGCAGAAAATTGGCAATGTTTGAAAAATCATTGCTCTAAAATTTATCTATAAATTTTAAATCTATTGATACCGAATAAATTTTTTTTAAATATCTAGTTCCAGATGGTGCAAATAAGTTTGAAATTTGTCAATAAATGACTGAGCTATGATTTTCCAAACATTGCAAGTTGGCCGTTACACATTTTACCGAGGCTTCGGGTTCGGAGTGTTAATGACATATATAGTAAATGCCAATGTCGCCAATAAGGGTCAATGTACCCATTTAGTTAAACCAGGATTAAGGCTTGAGTGGAGGTCAAGAAATTGCCCTTAAGTCGCTTGATTACAGTAAACGTTAGCTAAGTGGATTGTCCTTTGGTTGGTGAAAAGTCGACACAACTCAGCGAACCTTGAATATACGTAATGAAATAATTATTTTACTTCTGTTTTTTTCAAACCAGTTGAGTTTACATACGAAGCATATAATTTGAAGTATTTCACCAAATACATATAAAATATACTTAAGACATTTCTCTCATGTAGAAGAATTAAAGGAAATCTGCAAAACTGATAGATTAAAAGCTTTGTTAAAAAACCAGGAATTTTTATGGAAGAAACCAGAAAAACCGGGGAAAAACCAGGAATTTAAAATCAGAAATACACTTGCCACCCTGATTATGCTTAGTTTGTTAAGGTCTGAGGTCACGTGTCAGCCATTTTTGATGCTGCATTGAAAAACTGGGAGCGGGAAATTTCGCCGAAAGACGTTTCGCCTAAGGACGTTTCGCCGAAGGACGTTTCACCGAAGAACGTTTCGCCGAAGGACGTTTCGCCGAAGGTCATTTTGCCGAATTTTACCCCTCACCATCCCTCTCCAAAGGGGGAGTTTGGTAAAGAGAGATGAAAAAACCGATTTGTACCTTCCTTAAAAAGTTGTCCTAGCTCGCTTGTCTAATATCTATATATAATCTTCACACTGCCGTACTCTAACGGAACTATCAACTCTATGCTTTCATCTACTCCATCTATCGTACAAAAATTACCACTACAGTCTGTTATTTGAAATAAGCATCTTCAACTATGAACTG